ACTCCGCGCATACCGGGCCGTCGGTTCTATTTTTTATCTCTCATTTCAGTCATCAGCCTTCGGGCAAGCTCCTGTACTACGCCAAGTTAGACTGCAAAGCACTAATGCACCACTTGCAAACTCTCAGAACGCTCCTACATGTGAGGTGCATTCATCACTCGTGCACAGCATGGTGCAACACTGCCCTTTGCCCAAGACTTGGACTTTGTGCAAAGGCTTTCCTCTAAAGGCTCTTGACATCTGATGGCAAGTTCACGCCATCAAAGTTCTTGATGATGTTGCCGTCTTTTCCGATGATAGTCTTGTGAGGGATGTACTTGAGGCCATACTCGTTAGGAGGTCGGCCTGCTGCATGAATGAGCTTGGGACTTGACAAGCCCTTGTCGGCCTTGTAGGCTTGGCCATCAGCAATCCCCTTCAAATTGACCAGCAGAAAAGTCACGTTCTCGTGCTCGTTTGCCAGCTTGTCCATCTCAGAAGCAGCAGGTCCACAAGCCGGTCAGAAGTTTGCGTAGAAATCAATGACCACAGGTTTTCCTTCGGCCAGAAACTCAGATAGCTTCTTCTTGCTGCCATCCTCCAATTCCACTTCGAAATCGGGTGCAGGCTTTCCAACTAGCTCGGACATTTCTGTTGGACCTGGGAAGGGGCACACACTAACCTCACACCTACTCTCGATACAGTGCTTAAGCCAAAATCGGAGCGAAAGCTTGAAGGACATAATGAACAACGAATACGTAAGGGTTCAAAAGAAGATTAACACAATGGAACACAGTGGAACAAAGGCATACCGAAAACAAGCTTGTCCAGGCTCCGGGGCGTAAGTATTGCTTCCCTGCCCGGAGTTCTCCAAGAACACTCCTCAAGGGCTGAAACCAAAATGTTGTGACGGATGCATATTGCAAAGCAATGCTTAGGAAGATGGCAGAAGCTGCTCGTCCAAGTGCGTCACTCACTCATATTCAACGATGCTGCCAGCAAGGGAGAGGACTGGGTGCATCGACTAGTGGCTAGGTGCTCGCTGATTCTTACGCAATCTAATTGAAAAGATGCGGGTCAATCTGTCCAAACAAAATGCAAAACCTGATGTTAAATTGTGTTTACTCAAATGGCACCCTTCATGCTGAAGGAGAAGACTTCTCAGAACAGTGCAGCACAGCTGCCTCAGCATTCTGCTTTTCGTACTCTGAGTTTCTCACTCGAATGCCACCGCTGTGGGCTCGAAGTAGCAGTGATGTTGCTGATTCCACTCCTGCGCATTAGAAAAGGGCAAACAAACTCAAATCAGAGGTATTCCAAGAAAGCTCAGCAATATATATAAGGCTCAGACGTGCAGCCACCCGGATCGCAAACAGAACCACTCCAACAGTGTCAGATGTTACTGAGTTTGCCAAAACGAGTGCCTGGGCACACATGATGCAACATGATCTTGTTCCAAAGAGAGTTTGCAAATCATTTTGGACTAGCAAGAATAGAGATAGATAGATAGATAGATAGATAGATAAATAGATAGATAGATAGATTGATTGATTGATTGATTGATTACTTAAGGCTAGTTTCGAGTTCTGTAAGGATGTTGCAAGCTCCAGCAAGCGGCCAGAGAGTGACAACCTCATGTTTTTGGCTACATTTGAGATGGTGTCATTGTTGCTTCAGAATACACAAGCAAGAGCTTTAGGATCAAACGGCATTTTTGGCGAGCAAGAAAGCTCGGTGAGAAGCCTTAAAAGAGCAAGCTCACATGCTAAAATGCCCGTGCAATTCACGAGTTGTCCATTCATTTGAGAGGCGTAGGACAGCCAACTGTCAGTCAATGTCGAAATTGTAATCAGTGTATTTTAACATCCTGGGTGGAAATTTGGCCTGGCTCAAATGCACACGAGATCTTTTGAAGGATTTTAGAGGAAACTCTTACTCTTATAGCATTCCAATTTCAAGAAGAACAAAAATTGTCCTGGCACAGGACAGTCTCAGGTCAACTAACGCTTGCAATCGTGCTCTCGCTCCTTCGAAAGTTCCAAGCTTGGAACTGTCCAAACGGGGTGGCCAATAACTCAGCCTATCACGGCAAGAAGGCGTTGAATTCGCGAGGAAGGTAAACTCAGGAAGATACACAGAACTCCCTGTCTTATGTCTGCCAAGTTAGTTTCAGTGTCATATCTTTCTTCATACACAAAAGGCAAACACATCTAGTGTGTGTTGACCGACGTTTGTAACTCTTGCTTCTCTAGATCCCATCAAATCGAGTGCAGCCTCTGCTGCGCTTGCAGCTGGAACCATTTGCGGGCAACTTAGCAACCCATTCTGAACATTTTTGCAGTCTGTGGCACTTGGTACAATCTGAAGCAACAAATGTGGTATATACCTCGAAACTAAGTGCTTGAACTCATGCCAGCGCCCAGGCATGAGAAACTTGCCGGGCTCCAGGATGACCGCATGCAGTATAGAACGCAGCCTGAAGCGAGAAATGGATGCCCTCTGCAAGGAAACTTACCAGGTTGAAGCCACATCGCCAAGGACACCAATACTCTTTTCTAACCTTGCTTGCACCGGCACATCAAACTGAGTGAATTGCGTATCACTGAACAAGCAGTTGACCTCAGCCCGACGACAGTGTTGTTCTTCCGTCGGCAGAGCTCTTCTCTTGGACATTCGCCTAAATCGCAAGGCTATTCCACAAATCCTGATCGAGCTCCATGCTCGGTCTGCAGAGGTGAAAAACGCCAGCATTAATGGCCTCCACGGGAGCAGAATACACAGCTTTTGAACAATGTGTCCAAGAAAAAATCCACGCAGTTGATGTCGCAAAAAACTGTGGACTCTTGGCCCCTGACATTCGAATGTACGGGACCTTTCTCCGGAGCAGGTCAGACAGTCAGACTCCCACGTTCCAGTGTGACACTAAGATACTGGCTGTGAGAAAAGACAAAAGAGCCTCAGCATCGGAAGGTCGCAACCGATCCTGAGGCGAAGGTCGCAATTGGATTCTATTCAAGATTGGTCTTTCATTTTTTTCTCCCTCTCTTCGTTGCCAACATTTGTGCTTTCCCCACCTCAAAGGTTGGCAAGGATCGCAAATAGAGCCTCATGGTTGCCAAAATTGGCTAGCTGTGCAATTCAATAATTTGTCCAAATGCCAATGCAGTTTGCCAGCCGAGGCTTGAACAAGTCATCCTCCGTTCGAACAACAGCCCGACCAGTATACCTCAATTTGTAAACACAACTCGGTTCAATCCGCAACTGACAGCTCAGGCGCAGCTCAGGTGCTTTGAAATTCAACGCGTGGGTTTTTTTTGTTCAAGAAATGTACGGTATTCCTTTTCATGCACTCTTTGATATCTTTGCTTAGCCGTTTTGCTTCTATTAAGTAGTCAAACCCAAGGCGTAAGGCCGACTTTTGTTTATATATCGTATATAAAATATTTTGGTATGTGTTTCTTTCTTCAAGAAAGCGAAAGGTCTATTTTGGGCTTAACTCCCCCTTACTGCCCCTTACTGTACTAAGTATGCCGCACTGCTCACACGTGACTCATAAGAACACGTTCTGGCTCACTTGGAGGCCAATGCGGCACTGGCATAGCGATGGCCACTAGCAGAAGGCTTTGGCCTGGCACTGCATGTTTGTTCACCACACAGCCACATAAGGGAACTCTAAACACCGCCTGGAACGTTGGCCTTCCTTGAACGCTTGCCCTCCAAATGCATTTGTTTGGCCTTGCCTGTAATTTGGCTCGTTGGTCTTCAAAACGTGATCCTGACCTGAAGCATTTGCTCTGCTGCCCAGGTGCTATGCGCCACATGACAGAAACAAGATGGACCCGACTTCACACGCACAAAAAAAACAACGACCAAACATTAACATTGTTTCACGCTCTTGTGGGACACTCTCGTGCGACACTCTTGCGGGGCACTCTTGTGGGACACTCTTGTGGGAGACTCTCGTGCGACACTCTCGTGCGACACTCTTGCGGGGCACTCTTGTGGGACACTCTTGTGGGAGACTCTCGTGCGACACTCTTGCGGGACACTCTTGTGGGACACTCTTGTGGGAGACTCTCGCGCGACACTCTTGCGGGGCACTCTTGTGGGACAATCTTGTGGGACACTCTCGCGCGACACTCTTGTGGGACACTCTTGTGGGAGACCCTTGTGGGACGGTCACTTTTGCGGAAAGCTCTTGCAGGATAATTTTGCGCAACACTCTTGTGGTGCCACAGACTAGATGCAACAGTGCCGAGACCACCAATCATCCTGCTCCCCAGTAACACGCCGCGTTTACACCAGCACGCAGCAAGCATTCCTTCGCCTGATGGCAAGGACTAGGCAAACGCACTTTCCACCGAGGCCGCGCAAAACTGCATGGCGCAGCGACTATAGTGTCATGTCACACAGCGCGCCACAGACTAGATACAACCATGTAACACCAAGCTGGACTAAGCCTCGTTCACCCCGCCAATCCTCTCGCTTCTTAGCGACACGCCGCGCTTACACCAGCGCGGCTCCCTGCCCCCAGCAGAACGGACTCACGCAAACGCACTTTCCACCAAGGCAGCGTGAAACCAAATGGCACAGCGACATTACACACGTCAGGTCGCCACACAGTGTGCCACAGACTAGATACAACCCAGCGATCATTGTGGGCGCCGCTTTCTCATTCGTTTCCACTTTTCCACGCTATTTCACACGACTCTGACACGTCATGCTTCCATCCAAAACCTCCTCCAAGAATTAACGACGAGGCGACGACGACACGACGACCCGACGATGCACACTTATTATTTGGTGTACGGAACTGAATGCGGCGCCACACGCCAACCTATAGGTTAAAAAAGAAGCCTGAGTAAAACGGGGCACGAAAGTTGGAGGCCATCGCTCTTAGGTTGGAGGCCATCGAAGGCAGGTTGAGGGGCCATCGCTAGTAGGTCGGCGACGAGAAACAAGACAGCAAAACAGTCAAAGTTGGAGGTCCTCTCACTTAGGTTGGAGGCCGTCGAAGGCAGGTTAAGGGGCCATCGCTATAGTAAGTTGGCGACAAGAACCGAAACTGCAAAACCGTCAAAGTTGGGGGTCTTCGCCCTTAGGTTGGAGGCCGTCGAAGACAGGTTGGGGGGCCATCGCTAGTAGGTTGGCGACAAGAAGCACAAGAAACGCAAGACTCACAAGACAGCCAAGGTTAGAGGCCAATGCTAGTGGGTGGAGGCCAACCGACACACAAGTGTGTCGAGTACCATTTCTTCCTAAATAGTGGAGCAGGTACGTGGAAACGGCGTCCCATTTCCATATCCTCAGATACATCGCCTGCTTCATTGACCAGGCGACGATGTATCTGGCCTGGTCCCCTGCTCCACACACACGCCTCCCCGAAGGGAGGCATGTGTGGCCTCCATCCTGCTTGGAAAGGAAGCAAGGCGCACGCGCGCGCAAAAGAGACAGATGAACATGAAAGAGACGAGACAGACGAAAAGTGTGTGCGGTCGCCGATGAAGAAGAACCAAGTGAAGACGGACAACCGATGAACCAAACCTCATTGTAACAAACCTGGGCCACCTGAACCTCGTTGTAAGTAGAATACGCGCGCGTGTATGTGTACAAACTAAGGTCCGGGCGAAAGTGCGCGCAAGAGAAAGAAAGGATGAGGATGAAGAGACATGAAGGCAGAAAGACATGAAAGAAAAGAAGGAAAGACGTCTGCGGGGGCCGATGAAAGGGGAACCAAATGAAAGGGGACAAACTGATGACAGTCCAAACCTCATTGAGAAACCTGTTGCAGAAGCCTAGTTTGCCTGTAGACACGCCGCGCGCGAAGGGGGAGGAAGAAAAGAGAAGGAGAGAAAGGAGGACGCAAAGGTGCTCCCAGCTATGACACAAGCGTCCAAGGACACACCAAAAAGGAAGGGCTCCCAGCTATGACGAAAGCATCCAGGGACACCCAAGGAAGAAGGAAGGTGAAGAGAGGAAAGAAAGAAAGAAAGAAAGAAAGAAAGAGAGGGAGAGAGAGAGAGAGAGGGAAAAAGAAGGAAAAAGGGCAGGTGTTCCCAGCTACGAACAAGCGTCCAGGGACACACCAATGAGAGAGAGGGGTGATCCTGAGTATTCCATTCAGGAACACCCCCAGAAGGCAGAAGGAAAGGGGGGAGGGAAGGGGGAGGAAGGGGGGGCTAAGTGCTCGGCAGACTCCAACGAGTCTTGAACAAGCTTCGGCCGCTGCGGCCACGTACGCCGTGCCAAACTTGCTGGCTGCTTTGACCGCTACACGTAAAGGCATGAGCCAGGTTGGAATTCCCAAAATGAGACAAAAGTCTGAGTTCTCTCGGCCTAGGCCACCTACGCTCGCTGTGAGCAGCTTTGTATCCGGGCAGGGGATACGTTTGACAAACCCCCATTCGACGGGGGGCTCTCACTACGAGAGACACACTTATGATTTGGTGTGCGGAACTGAATGCGGTGCCACGCGCCAACCTAGTTTAAAAAGAAGCCTGAGTAAAACGAGGCCCGAAAGTGCAAAACAGTCAAAGTTGGAGGTCCTCTCACTTAGGTTGGAGGCCGTCGAAGGCAGGTTAAGGGGCCATCGCTAGTAAGTTGGTGACAAGAACCGAAACTGCAAAACCGTCAAAGTTGGGGGTCTTCGCCCTTAGGTTGGAGGCCGTCGAAGGCAGGTTGGAGGGCCATCGCTAGTAGGTTGGTGACAAGAAGCACAAGAAACACAAGACATACAAGACAGCCAAGGTGTGAGGCCAATGCTAGTGGGTGGAGGCCAACGAATCCAGGTTGAAGGACCACATTACAAGTTTGGAGGCCTACCTGCAAACCTATAGAGTAGACTGTGTGTCGAGTACCATTTCCTTCTGTTTTCCTAAATAGTGGAGCAGGTACGGGGAAATGGCGTTCCATTTCCATATCCTCTGATACATCGCCAGCTTCATTGACCAGGACGATGTATCTGGCCTGGTCCCCTGCTCCAAACGCAAAGGGTTTTTTCTGTGATTTGAAAGGTTACACACTTATGGTTACGCGTACTGATGTGAATGCGGTGCCACACGCCGGCCTAAGTGAAAAAACCTTAGGAAACAGGGCAAGTAAAGGTAAAGCTAAATTAGGGGCCATCGCTAGAAGTTGGAGGCCATCGCCCAAGTTTGGAGGCCAAAGTACCAAGTTTACAGCGAGCATGTTTACAGCAAGCACGTTTGCAGCAAGCATCTGTGCCCACCCCAACTCTGCAGACTGGATAGGAATGCATCCAGTCGAGCAGAGCGGACGCGCCGGCCCTAAGGGCAACCGGCAAATAAACTACTAGAAGGGCACCACAAATAGGAAGAGGCCATAGCGACAAGGTTGGAGGTCTGCGCAATAGGTTAGAGGGCCCACAAGACACAAGGCAGCAAAAAAAAACAAAACAAAACCCAAAAAAAAAAGGATTGTGACTCCAAAGGTTGCACTGCAACATCGTGAAACACTTTAAGATTTGTGCGTGTCATTCCTTTAACTGCAACAAGGTGGTACACTTCAAGATTTGTGAGTGTCATCCTTCAAACTTCAAATGAATCCCTGTGACTACAAGGGTTGCACACACACACACACTCATGGGTATGCGTACTGACTTGATAGCGGTGCCACACGCCAGCCTAAGAAACCCAAGTCCTGAAAAATCAGGTGAGGAGACTTAGAAAGTAGAGGTCCTAGAAAGGAAGTAGAGGTCCATCAGCTCCAAAAGAAAACGCCGATCGAACGAACGACAAGGTGACGACGTGCGTGCAGAGAAGCCAAAAGCATCGCCGCTGCAGTAGCCCTTTACTGAAGGAAACAACGAAGTAGACAGCTTGTGCTCTACGTAGGTTCATTTCAAAGCAGGTACGTAGCTCCAGCGTCCCGGAGCTATATCACAGACCAATGCAAGCGTCTTTGTTAGTGCCAGACTTGCATGGTCCCTGGCACCCCCTGCTAAAAGCTCAAAACAATCCGAAGGATCCCTATGATTCCAAGGGTTACACACACACGCCTCCCCGAAGGGAGGCAAACTTTTAAGCTCCATGCCGAAGGTGAGGTGAGACTAAGAAAACTGTCGGAGCTCACGATAGGTCTGGTAGGCAGT